TTCATCTTGACTTAATTACATAATGCACAATTTACTATTTGACAATTTATTATTGACATGATTCAGTGAAACATATAAAAAACAACTGGAGAACTGGAGAACTATGTACAAATCAGAACTTATTTACAAAAAACAGATTTTAAGGGTTGTTACACTTCCATGTGCGCTGCTAGTTCCACGTGTTGAATATTGCATCGTGTAAAAACCTGTGAGCTGCTGTAATCCAGTTAGAAGTACTGTATTTTCCGGACTATAAGTTGCTCTGGAGTACAAGTCGCACCAGGCAAAAAATGTGCAATTTAAGAAGAAAAAAACATATGTAAGTCGCACTTTTTGGGGAAATGTACTTTATAAAAATCAGAGACCAGGAACCGACCGAAGTTATAGTAGTAACAGTTATAGTAACAGACTGAAGAGGAGTTAATATGTTAATGTGACATATTAACAGTTATTCAGATGACTAGAGCATAAACAACAGAACAGAACAAGTTTACCAAACTCACGATGTCACTCCAAATCACTAAATCCATTCAATTCTTCATTGTCAGTGTCACTTCTGTGCGACCTCCAGAGATAAACCATAGATCCATAAACTTTGCGCCGCTTCCTCTGTTGCTGTCGTCAGACTCAGCATCAGTTCCAGTTAGAATTGTTCCAGCCTTTCTGAATCTCGACAGGATGGTTTCGGTGTCACTGAAGTCCAGACTTTGTCCATCCATCCAGTGGCTTCAGGAAAGTTTCATGGTGCATCCTCGGTTAACATGAAGCTGTGTTCTTCATCTCTGCTTTCCTCTGTCCCTCACAAGTTTCTAACTCACTCCAAACTTTCTTTTTGCTGCTCAATTACCGTTTTCGGCTGAATATTTCATTATTTGCAGCAGGACACCTTTTTCCACAGGAGGCATGTGCAGTAGAACGCGAAGTGACAGTGGTGCAGGAGTAATAGTAGTACTGGATACAGACACACGAGACTAGAGCTTCTCGCGACTGTCAGTCTGAAAATTTCAATATATAATTCACAGGACCACCCCAACCATGAAAAAAAACGTGACTTATAGTCCAAAAATACGATAGTTTGAAATTATTTGAACCAGATCTGATTTTGTGCTTTATGAGAATGATATTAATATTACTTTGATTATGCAGGTTGTTTTTTTTTTCCCTGGGACTGTTTCGGTGTGAGGCTGGAGTCACTGGATCCAGGACCTGAGGACCTGCTGGACGCCGTAACATCTCTCTGTGGTGGACCTGGCCTTCATTGCAGCACATTGCAGTTAAAGGAACAATTTGTCTGAACAAAGGACTGATTTACATGGGTAAATATATAAACATAAACTGGTAATATTTGGGGGGTATTGATTTTGTTCAGTAAATTTTGTTCACTTTTCTCCTTCCAACCTACGGTCCAGATTTATTACACCTTCTTTCCTCCTTTAGAACTTAGATTCCTGGGTACGTGTATCATTCATATCTGACTAGTTCAATTGATACAGGTCACATACTTAAGTTACATAAACATTAGTAACACAACATCTGATTTATAATTAGACGTGAATGACATTTGCATGGTGTGTTACAGAACGTGTCTTATCATTCGATAACTCAAACACTCCTAACGGTGGGAAGTACTCAGTTACATTTGTTTGAGTAACTTTTTAAAGAAATTGTACTTTTCAAGCTGCAAATTTTTACTCCTACTTGAGCAATATTGTTATTGTATATTTGTAAGTATTCTTTACAAATATACAAAGAGGAAGCACTGACGAATGAGGGCGTTGGCGACCAGACGCTTAACGAGGAAATGTCAAAATACTCAAGTCATCAAATAATCAAATAAAGTGTTAAATGTCTGACCTGATCCTTCAGCTGTGGTCCACACGAGCAGAAACAGCACAGCTCCAGTCTGGGTCAAACACACGTTCATTATCCACCGTCAGTAAAAAAAAACAAGACATGAGACCACAGACACAAGTCCAGAGTTCAGAGTCCTGTCCTCAGATTAGATCAGCTCAAGACGACACAACAAAACAGAACAGACTGGTTTGCTTGGTTTGTCGTATTAAAGTTTGCAGATCAAGATTCCAGTGAGTCCGAGTCACGTTATGTAAACTATGTGAATGAAATACCACAGGTAACTTGCACAATATTCAGACTGAGAGAAACAGTACCACAGTCTGACCTCACAAACTCCTCTTACTGTGGTCACACCGGCTGCTCAACGCCAAAGTGTCAAATACTGTCGTTGTGTCCTTAGGCAAGACACTTCACCCACATTGCCTTGTGTGACAGTGTGTGTGTGTGTGTGTTGTGTGTTGTGTGTGTGTGTTGTGTGTGTGTGTGTGTGTGTGTGTGTGTGTGTGATGTGTGTGTGTGTGTGTGTGTGTGTGTGTGTGTGTGTGTGTGTGTGTGTGTGTGTGTGTGTGTGTGTGTGTGTGTGTGTGTGTGTGTGTGTGTGTGTGTGTGTGTGTGTGTGTGTGTGTTGTGTGTGTGTGTGTGTGTGTGTGTGTGTGTGTGTGTGTGTGTGTGTGTGTGTGTGTGTGTGTGTATGTGTGTGTGTGTGTGTGTGTGTGTGTGTGTGTGTGTGTGTGTGTGTGTGTGTGTGTGTGTGTGTGTGTGTGTGTGTGTGTGTGTGTGTGTGTGTGTTGTGTGTGTGTGTGTGTGTGTGTGTGTGTTGTGTGTGTGTGTGTGTGTGTGTGTGTGTGTGTGTGTGTGTGTGTGTGTGTGTGTGTGTGTGTGTGTTGTGTATGTGTGTGTGTGTGTGTGTGTGTGTGTGTGTGTGTGTGTGTGTGTGTGTGTGTGTGTGTGTGTGTGTGTGTGTGTGTGTGTGTGTGTGTGTGTGTGTGTGTGTGTGTGTGTGTATGTGTGTGATGTGTGTGTGTGTGTGTGTGTGTGTGTGTGTGTGTGTGTGTGTGTGTGTGTGTGTGTGTGTGTGTGTGTGTGTGTGTGTGTGTGTGTGTGTGTGTGTGTGTGTGTGTGTGTGTGTGTGTGTGTGTTATGTGTGTGTGTGTGTGTGTGTGTGTGTGTGTGTGTGTGTGTGTGTGTGTGTGTGTGTGTGTGTGTGTGTGTGTGTGTGTGTGTGTGTGTGTGTGTGTGTGTGTGTGTGTGTGTGTGTGTGTGTGTGTGTGTGTGTGTGTGTGTGTGTGTGTGTGTGTGTGTGTGTGTGTGTGTGTGTGTGTGTGTGTGTGTGTGTGTGTGTGTGTGTGTGTGTGTGTGTGTGTGTGTGTGTGTGTGTGTGTGTGTGTGTGTGTGTGTGTGTGTGTGTGTGTGTGTGTGTGTGTGTGTGTGTGTGTGTGTGTGTGTGTGTGTGTGTGTGTGTGTGTGTGTGTGTGTGTGTGTGTGTGTGTGTGTGTGTGTGTGTGTGTGTGTGTGTGTGTGTTGATGTGTGTGTGTGTGTGTGTGTGTGTGTGTGTATGTGTGTGTGTGTGTGTGTGTGTGTGTGTGTGTGTGTGTGTGTGTGTGTGTGTGTGTGTGTGTGTGTGTGTGTGTGTGTGTGTGTGTGTGTGTGTGTGTGTGTGTGTGTGTGTGTGTGTGTGTGTGTGTGTGTGTGTGTGTGTGTGTGTGTGTGTGTGTGTGTGTGTGTGTGTGTGTGTGTGTGTGTGTGTGTGTGTGTGTGTGTGTGTGTGTGTGTGTGTGTGTGTGTGTGTGTGTGTGTGTGTGTGTGTGTGTGTGTGTGTGTGTGTGTGTTTGCAGCCTCGAGTGAATGAATAACTCTCTGTAAAGTGTCTTTCATGTTACTTTTACACTGAAGTGAATCACTGTATCTTCGTATCAGAAACGATCTGCGTCCAGACACGTCGTTTCTGTGTCTGTGAGTTTTCCCTCCACACAGATTTGAGCAGATTCGTTTATGTTTTACAGAAATGAAACTAAGCTTCCAAAAAAAAACAAAAAAAACCCCAGATTGCTCCTTGTGCGCTGATGCGGTTCAGCTTCTGTTGGACTAAAGGACTAAAGCAGGACTCAACCAGGACTAAAGCAGGACTCAACCAGGACTAAAGCAGGACTCAACCAGGACTAAAGCAGGACTCACTGTCAGGACAGGTCCAGAGGTTCGCCCGTGTAGACTGTCGAGTGACCGCGGGCGAAAGGACCGGTGCAGAGCTCCACACCGCACGGATCTCTCTTTGTGGAAACTCTGCTACACGGGTTGGGGTTAAGTCCAAGATTAGTCCTGGTGTAGTCCTGGTTTAGTCCTGGTGTAGTCCTGGTTTAGTCCTGGTGTAGTCCTGGTTTAGTCCTGACCCGCCCACATATCTGCCCGTAAAATTCCAGAACGTTAAAACTCGCCTGTTTCAGAGACTATTTGCCCGTACCTGTCGGGGACCCGCAGGTACTCGACCCGGGGCAGGACTCTGCTCCGTCCTCGTGTACTCCAAGATATTTGCTTCCTCTTAGAAACTCTTAAAAATAATGCCTCCTCAGATATCAACAATACTTCGTAGATTTGATTTATTTTTTGACATTCTAAAATCAATTCACATTTTTACAGCAGGTTGTGACAAAACTGTCCATAGTTTGATGTAAATAAATAATGTACTGTTACATAAGCAGCTCTGCTTTTAAAAAACATGTTACACTTGTACAAAATAAATACCAAGAGTTCATTAATGGAGTCGTCACATCCAGTGGTTTATCCAGTTATTCCACAGCTCTTTGTTTACTTCTTTAAATCAGACATAATCTACAAAATGGACTTTTCTCTGAGGTTGTATTCAGAGTGACTCATGTTTGTTTGTCTTTATTCTCCGTTATTCAAGACGTTATCGCTCTGATCTACTCACATCTTCAGCTCCACTGGTGCTCGCCCAATGTGACCTGTGCTCTTCATTTAGTCAGTTTGGTCCAAATGTAGAAAAACGCACATGATCAATGAAAACTTAAAGAAATGTAACAGAAACATGCTCCAAATATTATTCACCTATAAAATACTGTGATGACATCTGAAACACAACTACAGCCTTGTTGTACTTATAAGACTCATAGTAATGTGTTAAAAGGCTAAAACAGCTCAAATGAAGTAATGCATTTTCTATGTTAATGTCAGTAATTGGAAAAACAGACACCCTCTATATATATATATTTTAATATGATCTCGCCTGTGGAGTGCCACTAGGGGGCGCACCGGTAGAAGGAGTTAGGAATCCAAGGGACAGTGCTGCAGAATAAACCCTGCAGTCCTGAGATGCAAAAGACAAATCATCTGTCCCTTGTGTTCCTTTTCCAGGGTTTATCTTCACCTCCCCCTCGAGCACAGGAGGAGCAACATACTCTCCTTCATCCTCATCCTCTTCCTCTCCAGATCCTTCATCCTCTTCCTCTTCCCCTCCAGATCCTTCATCCTCATCCTCTTCCTCTCCAGATCCTTCATCCTCATCCTCTTCCTCTCCAGATCCTTCATCCTCATCCTCTTCCTCTCCAGATCCTTCATCCTCATCCTCTTCCTCTCCAGATCCTTTATCTTCATTCTCTTTCCTCGGCTCTGGTTGGTTCAGTGACTGAGGTTCGGTCTCGTGATGTGATTCAGATATTTCTCTGTAATGAAAATGTATTTTTTGTGATTATGTGATTTAACTTTGAGATCATTGGTTTAGTGTTTTTAAAAGTCTTCAGTCACAGGGATAAAAGGTGAATACTGAATGTATTCTTCATGTCCCATTTCTATAAAAGGTTTATCTTAAAATAGAAAGATTCTGTTCAACTCAAATACCTTAAATGACTTATTTGCCTCTTGTCGTCTCGTCTTTTCATCTGTAACAAGAAGAAGAAGTGTGAGTGAGTGTCAGTGTGTGGAACACACTCACACAATATGACAACCACAATATTAAATATTATTATTATAAACACAAAACTTAAAAACACAAACAGGACTTTTCTCAACATTCATTTAAAGCTGGAGACGAGCGTCTGCAGAGTCTAGTACAATCTAGTCTAAAGTCTAAAGTCTAAAGTCAAGTGTTCACCTGAGAAAAGATTTAACTCACCTCCAAACGCACAATGTGATAAAAATGATCAAAATAAAAAGGTCCAAAGAGACAACAGAGGAGCAGATGGAAACATTTTATAAAAATACTAAACTTCATGGACGCGTGTCCTGTTGTTTGAGATCGTTGTCCTGCTATAATTTGGCCAATTAAACAGACAAACTTTTATTTCCTTGTACCTGACAGAGTAGAGCACCGTTATTATTCTTCTACTTCACTTAGATTGTTGGAGGTGACGCCCTCTGCTGGACACATCAAACATCTACATCGGCCTCAGTTCAGGTCAGTTTAAATATTTACTGTTAGTGACTTTACACCCTGAAAATAAACATATTAGAACATACTTAGAGATAAAGTTAAAATACAAAATGAGTTTCAAACAATCATCAGGTGTTCTGGTCCCAGCACCTGACACACACCTTGTTTGGTGACGTCTCATCTGTTCCACAGAACTATAATAGATCCATGTTGAGGTTCATTGTCTCATGGTGGTTTGAGGTGCACAGTGAAGGTGTTGGTGGTTGTGAAGAACGACTGAGCCCAGATCCTGTGGACTTCAGATACAGACTGACAGAACAGTGACAATAAAGTTGAATTATAAATCATTTTATTCATTAGAATCCTGAAAGAGGCTCAGGTTTGTGGTTATTCGGCGCTAGTGACACTCAAGTTTTTATCTGCTAAAACTTGTGAAACGTTCTTAGAAATAAATATGGACCATCCCAAAATAAACTCATGTTTTTATTTTTTTTTTAACCCTCTCAGGCTCAAATACATTTTTAGCATCAGGAAAAATCTGATATTTGGGGAAGATTATAATATGGGGTAATAATAAACAATCCTGACTTTTTTATCCTTTGTAAACAAAAAAAAGTATTTTACACTTCTGGTCGTTTGTGTGGAGTCGTTCTTGCTCAGTCTGCATCACCCACGTTTATCAGCCTGGATGGGAGAAAAGGCTCCTGAGTAAAAAAAGCTCATAAAATATGGATGTGAAGTAAGTAGGTCATTGGAATTTAGCTGTTGCAAATCTGCAACGTCTGGAGATAAAACTGTATAAAAATGTGTAACTGTTGAAATATTTCATAAACTTTGCCTGTGTCCTCAGGTGTTTCAGTCACACTTTATAGAAGAACTACACCATTTACAGCCTTAAAAAACAACAAAGACTTAAAGCTGCACTGTGTAACTTTTCTCTTCCCTCCTCGTCTCCATGGAGATGCTGTTGCTTTGTCCACAATGCTCCACAGTCTTGCATTAAACAACCCTGCTTATGTTTTTCAAGCAATAAAAAACAACAGCGTCTGTACTGGAATAAACAGGAGACAGATCAGTTTAATGCCACTGTGGAACATTTCAGGCAAAGCAACAAAATCTCCATGGAAAAAAAACCAAGTCAGACAAACACAATGCACCGTTGCTTAGATACAGTTGTAAAAGTGAATAAAATCACTGCTGCTTTTCTTCATTAAATTTCTTTTTCCACGTTCCACAAACACACGTCCTGTTTCCAGTTTGGTGTAAAGTTCAGTTTAATTCTGTCCATGTCCAAACCTTCATCTACAAACTAAAACATCTATTTGATTATTTCCCTTTGCAGAAATGACTGAGCGACTTGTTTGTGAATCTTACACTGACGTCTCCTCTCAGTGTCCTGCTCTTTTTCCTTTGTCTTTTGTTTGTCTGTGGACTTTGCTTCATTTCACTTCATTTGGTTTGAGTCCAGTGTGAGCAGCTGCAGGTGTCCAGAAAAACACCACTGCAGACACATTGGTTTAGTTTGTTTAGTACTTTTGTTTATGTCAGTTTACAGTGTTGGAGTAACAGATTACAAGTACTGGAGTGATGTAATCAGAGTACAAATGATGAGTATTCAGTTACAGTTACTGTTTCAGTGAGTGGGAATTGGATTACAGTTACTTTGTTGAAATAAATGAATTACACAACCAGGACTAAACCAGGACTAAACCAGGACTAAACCAGGACTAAACCAGGACTAAACCAGAACTAAACCAGGACTAAACCAGGACTAAACCAGGACTAAACCAGAACTAAACCAGGACTAAACCAGGACTAAACCAGAACTAAACCAGGACTAAACCAGGACTAAACCAGGACTAAACCAGAACTAAACCAGGACTAAACCAGGTCTAAACCAGGACTAAACCAGGTCTAAACCAGGACTAAACCAGGTCTAAACCAGGACTAAACCAGGACTAAACCAGGACTAAACCAGAACTAAACCAGGACTAAACCAGAACTAAACCAGGACTGAACCAGAACTAAACCAGGACTAAACCAGGACTAAACCAGGTCTAAACCAGGACTAAACCAGGACTAAACCAGGTCTAAACCAGGACTAAACCAGGACTAAAACCAGGACTAAACCAGAACTAAACCAGAACTAAACCAGGACTAAACCAGAACTAAACCAGGACTAAACCAGAACTAAACCAGGACTAAACCAGAACTAAACCAGGACTAAACCAGGACTAAACCAGGTCTAAACCAGGACTAAACCAGGACTAAACCAGGACTAAACCAGGACTAAACCAGAACTAAACCCAGGACTAAACCAGGACTAAACCAGGACTAAACCAGAACTAAACCAGGACTAAACCAGAACTAAACCAGAACTAAACCAGGTCTAAACCAGGTCTAAACCAGAACTAAACCAGGACTAAACCAGGACTAAACCAGAACTGAACCAGGACTAAACCAGGACTAAACCAGAACTAAACCAGGTCTAAACCAGGTCTAAACCAGAACTAAACCAGGACTAAACCAGGACTAAACCAGGACTAAAACTAAACCAGAACTAAACCAGGACTAAACCAGGACTAAACCAGAACTAAACCAGGACTAAACCAGGACTAAACCAGGACTAAACCAGAACTAAACCAGGACTAAACCAGGACTAAACCAGGACTAAACCAGAACTAAACCAGGACTAAACCAGGACTAAACCAGAACTAAACCAGACTAAACCAGGACTAAACCAGGACTAAACCAGAACTAAACCAAACCAGGACTAAAACCAGGACTAAACCAGGACTAAACCAGGATTAAACCAGGACTAAACCAGAACTAAACCAGGACTAAACCAGGACTAAACCAGAACTAAACCAGGACTAAACCAGGTCTAAACCAGGACTGAACCAGGACTGAACCAGAACTAAACCAGGACTAAACCAGGTCTAAACCAGGACTAAACCAGGACTGACCTAAACCAGGACTAAACCAGAACTAAACCAGGACTAAACCAGGACTAAACCAGGACTAAACCAGGACTAAACCAGGTCTAAACCAGGACTAAACCAGAACTAAAAGACCAGGACTAAACCAGACTAAACCAGGACTAAACCAGGACTAAACCAGGACTAAACCAGGACTAAACCAGGCTAAACCAGGACTAAACCAGAAGAACTAAACCAGAACTAAACCAGACTAAAACCAGGACTAAACCAGGACTAAACCAGGACTAAACCAGGTCTAAACCAGAACTAAACCAGGACTAAACCAGGACTAAACCAGGACTAAACCAGGGCTAAACCAGAACTAAACCAGAACTAAACCAGGACTAAACCAGGTCTAAACCAGGACTAAACCAGGACTAAACCAGAACTAAACCAGGACTAAACCAGAACTAAACCAGACTAAACCAGGACTAAACCAGGACTAAACCAGAACTAAACCAGGACTAAACCAGAAACCAGGACTAAACCAGAATAAACCAGGTCTAACCAGACTAAACCAGGAACTAAACCAGGTCTAAACCAGGTAAACCAGGACTAAACCAGGACTAAACCAGAACTAAACCAGGTCTAAACCAGGACTAAACCAGGACTAAACCAGGTCTAAACCAGGTCTAAACCAGGACTAAACCAGGACTAAACCAGAACTAAACCAGGTCTAAACCAGGACTAAACCAGGACTAAACCAGGTCTAAACCAGGTCTAAACCAGGACTAAACCAGGACTAAACCAGGACTAAACCAGGTCTAAACCAGGACTAAACCAGGTCTAAACCAGGTCTAAACCAGGTCTAACCAGGACTAAACCAGGACTAAACCAGGTCTAAACCAGGACTAAACCAGGACTAAACCAGAACTAAACCAGGACTAAACCAGGACTAAACCAGGTCTAAACCAGGACTAAACCAGGACTAAACCAGGTCTAAACCAGAACTAAACCAGGACTAAACCAGAACTAAACCAGGACTAAACCAGAACTAAACTAAACCAGGTCTAAACCAGGTCTAAACCAGGACTAAACCAGGACTAAACCAGGACTAAACCAGAACTAAACCAGGACTAAACCAGAACTAAACCAGGTCTAAACCAGGTCTAAACCAGGTCTAAACCAGGACTAAACCAGGACTAAACCAGAACTAAACCAGGTCTAAACCAGGACTAAACCAGGACTAAACCAGGTCTAAACCAGGACTAAACCAGGACTAAACCAGAACTAAACCAGGTCTAAACCAGGACTAAACCAGGACTAAACCAGGTCTAAACCAGGTCTAAACCAGGACTAAACCAGGTCTAAACCAGGACTAAACCAGGTCTAAACCAGGACTAAACCAGGACTAAACCAGGACTAAACCAGAACTAAACCAGGACTAAACCAGGACCAAACCAGAACTAAACCAGGTCTAAACCAGGACTAAACCAGGACTAAACCAGGTCTAAACCAGGTCTAAACCAGGACTAAACCAGAACTAAACCAGGACTAAACCAGGTCTAAACCAGAACTAAACCAGAACTAAACCAGGTCTAAACCAGGACTAAACCAGGTCTAAACCAGGACTAAACCAGGTCTAAACCAGGACTAAACCAGGTCTAAACCAAAACTAAACCAGGACTAAACCAGAACTAAACCAGGATTAAAACAGGATCTAACAGGACTAAACCAGGTCTAAACCAGGACTAAACCAGGTCTAAACCAGGACTAAACCAGGACTAAACCAAAACTAAACCAGGACTAAACCAGAACTAAACCAGGATTAAAACAGGATCTAACAGGACTAAACCTGGTCTAAACCAGGGCTAAAACAGGACTAAACCAGGTCTAAACCAGGACTAAACCAGGTCTAAACCAGGACTAAACCAGGACTAAACAAGAACTAAACCAGGTCTAAACCAGAACTAAACCAGGATTAAAACAGGATCTAACAGGACTAAACCAGGTCTAAACCAGAACTAAACCAGGACTAAACCAGGTCTAAACCAGGACTAAACCAGGACTAAACCAGGACTAAACCAGAACTAAACCAGGTCTAAACCAGGACTAAACCAGGACTAAACCAGGTCTAAACCAGGTCTAAACCAGGACTAAACCAGGTCTAAACCAGGACTAAACCAGGTCTAAACCAGGACTAAACCAGGACTAAACCAGGACTAAACCAGAACTAAACCAGGACTAAACCAGGACCAAACCAGAACTAAACCAGGTCTAAACCAGGACTAAACCAGGACTAAACCAGGTCTAAACCAGGACTAAACCAGGACTAAACCAGAACTAAACCAGGACTAAACCAGGTCTAAACCAGAACTAAACCAGAACTAAACCAGGACTAAACCAGGACTAAACCAGGTCTAAACCAGGACTAAACCAGGTCTAAACCAGGACTAAACCAGGTCTAAACCAGAACTAAACCAGGACTAAACCAGAACTAAACCAGGATTAAAACAGGATCTAACAGGACTAAACCAGGTCTAAACCAGGACTAAACCAGGTCTAAACCAGGACTAAACCAGGACTAAACCAAAAACTAAACCAGGACTAAACCAGAACTAAAACCAGGATTAAAACAGGATCTAACAGGACTAAACCTGGTCTAAACCAGGGCTAAAACAGGACTAAACCAGGTCTAAACCAGGACTAAACCAGGTCTAAACCAGGACTAAACCAGGACTAAACAAGAACTAAACCAGGTCTAAACCAGAACTAAACCAGGATTAAAAACAGGATCTAACAGGACTAAACCAGGTCTAAACCAGAACTAAACCAGGACTAAACCAGGACTAAACCAGGACTAAACCAGGACTAAACCAGGACTAAACCAGAACTAAACCAGGTCTAAACCAGGACTAAACCAGGACTAAACCAGAACTAAACCAGGACTAAATCATACTGTGTGGACGTGTTTCTTCTTCTATCAATAATATTTTTAATTTGGTTCAGTAAAATCTGGACTTTTTAAAATTTTCTTTTATCAGACAAAACTTCTTATGTGAAGATTTCCTCGTCTTTGTTTCTCTACAGCAAATCAAGTAATCCAAAGTAATCAGATTACTTTACTCACTTTAAGTAATTTCATGGATTCTGTTACAAACTACATTCTGGTGTATGTAATCTGTAATCTGTAATCTGTAGGGGATTACATTTTAAAAGTCACATTCCCAACACTGTCAGTCGGTTTACTCATGTCGTTTTATTCTTTAGTATCATACATTTTTACTCGTTTGTTTAGTCTCATTTTTCTTTCCCTCTGCACCTTTTGTGTTGTTGGTTTAGTCCGTGGGCACCGCGGGGGTAAAGAGGGTGGCACAGCGGGACCAGAGGGCACCTGGGCGGGCCTGTGGTGTTTACCAGTCGACAGGCGGCGGCAGGTGTGCGCCTGAACATGTGGACTTCTGTTTGTCTGTGAAACCTGGAATAAATGTGGGTAAAAGCATCTCTGGATCTGGATTTGAAACCACATCCCCGCGGTGCCCAGAGGTGATGACTTGAGTTCTGTTTAAAGTTTGATCAGCGCTTTTGTTTGTTTTCCATGTCAAATAGTCACTACATCTACCTGTAACTGTGATGTCTCTAGAACGAGCCTGTTTCAGTCGGATCAGAACATGTGGCCTGGTGTGTGTGAGCGCTTCACAAAGTGGCCCGTGCTGCTCTAGAATCTGTGCACACACTTGTTCTCGGGGCTCTGTGCTCTGCCACCGTTCAACTGCTGAAGGAACTGCCAACATCTCCCCCGTGTTCACAGATAAGTCGTCATGAATCTTCTCCACACTTTGACGTTACATTCTGGAACAACAAAACACACTCCCAGTTTCTCGTTTAAACCTTTTGAGGCGTCTGTGTTTATTTGCACTTATCCAAAGAAGCTGCAAAAATGCAACTGAACTGTGTCTGTTCAATATAAACTCTTTATCTTTGTGCTGCTTCAACAAGGAATCATTATGAAGAAGATTAAATAAAATAAACATGTACAAACAAAGGAAACTGAGGCTCATAAAAGGAAGTGACCAAAGTGAAGCTCAGCTCAGACTAAAACCTTTAATGTGAATATTATTTACACTTTGTACAGATGAAACTGTTCACATATTTACAGAGTCACAGAGGGTTTCAGACTCTAGAATGTTCTGAGGTCACACTCCCACTGACATTTCACTTTCAGAACAAATATACAACAGGAAAATTCACTAAAGTGACTCCAGGACTAGACCCAAGAACAAATCTGTATTTAATCATATTTATCTGAGCTGCTCCCGTCTCTATGAAATATTATTGATCTGTACAATTCTGTGATGTCGTCTGAAACACGACTAAACCAACT